AAATTATATCGGGAAACAAACATCATACAATGGCAACCCTTCATATGTGATGGTCATGACATGTTTGTTTGCAATTTGCCAAAAGTATGTGTAAAACACCCACCATGAAAGTGGCGATAGGTCCATTCACCATAAATGTTTCGTTGTAACTCTTATGAATTATATTTTTTAAATAATGATAAAACCTATAGTAATATTTCCAAAGATACACATTGTTTCAGACAGTTTTTCTTCCAAAACATATTTAGTACTTGGTAAAAAAACAATAAGTCGACGACACATGCTAATTCGACAATTATGTATTACTTTTAAAATAAAAATGATGTGATAATGATTTGCTATTGTTCATTACGTCCATTGCCGTGAACCACATTAAAACCTGAACGGTATGTGAAACGCGTTGACTATAAATCAGAGATCCAACCTCTGGAATGACAGTCAAAACAATTTGACGACACAATGTCTGGATCCTTGAGCGGATTAATTTGGATTTAACCATCTAGAACCTTTAAGGACAGTGGCCTAATACATACGATAACATGACTTGAATATTAATGATATTTACTTGCTAGCAGGAAATGTCTGTCCGTCTTCGAAATGAATAAAGTGGGTCGACACTGTGGTACATGTGCACTACCGGAGTTGAATATCAAAAACAATTAAAATAGCGATTAAAAAAATTCAACAAGAGCTCACGTCAGGGTGTAATTGATTCTAATAAAAACGAAAACATCAACTTCACAGAAAAACGTTTATGATACATTAGGGATTCGTAGTATTTTACAAATTCCAATTTAAATCTGTGAATGTTATATTCTAAGCAAATGTGTTGTTACTTAGTGTTATACTTCATAATACCAGGCAATTGGAATGCAATACCTACGGGACACTCTGCGACAAACTGTTAACACTGTTTCTTTGCTCTAGATGATTTGCCGACAATTTGTTCGCAGAATTAAACATTGATTAGAGTCACAAATTTAAGCGGCATGTGAAGATACTGTGTTCCATATAAATGGTATAATTGTGTCGTCAATGTGAATTTAGCACTGTGTACCTATATAAATGATAGATTCCTGTAGTTAATGTGAATGTAGGACTGTGTACACTATATAAAAGATATATACCTGTAGTTAATGTGAATATAGGACTGTGTACACTATATAAACGATATATTCCTGTAGTTAATGTGAATTTAGGGCTGTGTACACTATATAAATGATAGATTCCTGTAGTTAATGTGAATGTAAGACTGTGTACACTATATAAAAGATATATTCTGTAGTTAATGTGAATGTAGGACTGTGTACACTATATAAACGATATATTCCTGTAGTTAATGTGAATTTAGGGCTGTGTACACTATATAAATGATAGATTCTTGTAGTTAATGTGAATGTAAGACTGTGTACACTATATAAAAGATATATTCCTGTAGTTAATGTGAATGTAGGACTGTCTACACTATATAAATGATATATTCCTGTAGTTAATGTGAATATAGAAGTATGTACACTATATAAATTATATATTCCTGTAGTTAATGTGAATATAGAAGAATATGTACACTATATAAATGATATATTCCTGTTGTTAATGTGAATGTAGGACAGTGTACACTATATAAATGATATATTCCTGTAGTTAATGTGAATGTAGGACTGTCTACACTATATAAATGATATATTCCTGTAGATAATGCGAATATAGAGCAGTGTACACTATATGAATGATATATTCCTGTAGTTAATGTGAATGTAAGACAGTATACACTATATAAATGATATATTCCTGTAGATAATGTGAATGTAGGACAGTGTGCACTATATGAATGATATATTCCTGTAGTTAATGTGAATGTAAGACTGTGTACACTATATAAATAATATATTCCTGTAGTTAATGTGAATGTAGGACAGTATACACTATATAAATGATATATTCCTGTAGTTAATGTGAATGTAGGACAGTATACACTATATAAATGATATACTCCTGTAGATAATGTGAATGTGGGATAGTATACACTATATAAATGATAGATTCCTGTAGTTAATGAGAATGTGGGACAGTATACACTATATAAATGATAGATTCCTGGAGTTATTGTAAATGTAGGACAGGATACACTATAGAAATGACATATTCCTGTAGTTAATGTGAATGTAGGACAGTATACACTATGCAAATGATAGATTCCTGTAGTTAAGGTGAATGTAGGACTGTGTACACTATATGAATGGTATATTCATGTAGTTAATGTGAATGTAGGACTTTATACACTATAAAAATATATATCCCTGTAGTTAATGTGAATGTAGGCCTGTGTACACTATATAAATGATATATTCCTGTAGTTAATGTGAATAGGAATATGTACACTATATAAATGATATATTCCTGTATTTAATGTGAATGTAAGACTGTATACACTATATAAATGATATATTCCTGTAGTTAATGTGAACTGTAGTACTGTATACACTATATAAATGATATAGTCCTGTAGTTAATGTGAATGTAGGACTATGTACACTATATACATGATATATTCATGTAGTTAATGTGAATGTAGGACTGTCTACACTATATAAATGATAGATTCCTGTAGTTAATGTGAATATAGGACTGTGTACACTATATAAATGATATATTCCTGTAGTTAATGTGAATGTAGTACTGTATACACTATATAAATGATATATTCATGTAGTTAATGTGAATGTAGGACTGTGTACACTATATAAAAGATAGATTCTTGTAGTTAATGTGAATATAGGACTGTGTACACTATATAAATGATTGATTCCTGTAGTTAATGTCAATATAAGACTGTGTACACTATATAAATGATAGATTCCTTTTGTTAATGTCTATATAAGGCTGTGTACACTGTATAAATGATATATTCCTGTAGTTAATGTGAAA